CACAAAATAGGATAAAAACACCACAGGCAACGCCTGAGAGCAGATCGACCTAGAACAAGAACTCGTCAGCACCATAGAATTATTCCCCTTCCTGCGCCTCCTCAGGGAAGAACTGATCATCTGAACCACATTTTATGCAAGAGGTGAGTACCGAGGTACCCAGCAAGCCACATCCATAATAATACAAATAGAATATATGCAAGGCGTACAAAGAATATAGTTCATCAAGGAGGTTTCATAACAAGCCTATTATAAATAGTTTTTCCCTACTTTATCAAATATTTTATTCGCAAACAATTGTAAATCATCATTTTAAAACGGTAGCAATATTAATCACCATTCATCCTCATCTTCATCATATTCCATATTTGAATTTAAAATCTACTCATACCATGATAAATAGGAATCACCCAATGACATAGCTTCTTAACCGGAAGCACGACACATTCGAATGATTTAAGACTCATCTCTGCAGAGACTGCCCAGCTTTACCCACCTGATGTCAACAACTAGCTAGGCTGAGGACAACATAGTCGTTCGAGAGTCCCACTTACTACTAGTTACTGCTCAGTAGGATATTGATCCGTCCTAGCAGTCGGGCACTTGCTGGGCCTAAGCAAGGCTAGACGGTCGCTGCTTTCACGGGTTCTGTAATATTTGTGATGAACAATTGGCTATGCAAATGATTTAATCGTTGAATTGGTTTGAAAATATGTGTGAATGTTGGTGTGAGTGCGTGTGACTAATGTGGGACAGGTTGTGATATCTGTGCCCAGAAACGGTTGTTTTGTCTGATTATGTGCAGGTGACTTGAGGTCAGCCTTGATCAATGGTGAGGACCGGGACTATGTTCAGGGAGAAACAGAGGTCTAGTGCGGTCGGGATACCATGTGAGAAGGTGACTAGAGTCAGGATTCTTTGAGGTCAACTTCGGTCAACGGTGAGGATCGGGACTAGACTCAGAGAGGAGTTGAGGTCCAGACGGTCAAGGATACCGGTTGACGAAGTTGGATACGAGATGGCATACGGTGGATGGACATCGTATGAGGAGAGATCTTCGCAACGGGCTTCACGAGGTGTGCGTGCAAGCATCGGTGTTCGCGAAGGAGATTGGAAGAAACTGGAGAGGAGTATATGGTGCTACAGTGCTTTGGGTTACTGTAGTATGCATATGTGTTTGCGTACTGTGGTGAGCAGTAGCAGCATATATGTGTGTGGTGCATATGCATGTCGTTGCATGCATGTGTGTGCTGCTTGGGTGAAGCAGCAGCAGGCAGCTCGGCCTGGGAGGAAGCAGCAGGAGCGAGCTGGCCTGGGATGTGCGCAGGAGATCGAGACCGGGTGCCATACGGAGATGGTGGTGTATTGACGTCGGATTGGTTTCCTGCGGCTGCAGTTCGAGAGTTTGGAGGATTGAGTCCTAGTGTGACTAGGAGTTGTTCTCCTACTTCCTACTTTGAGTAGGAGGTTTTGGGTATAAATAGAGAGGGAGGGGTGGCCTCCTGGGATCGGTTTTAGAGAGACACAAGTTGAGAGAAAGTTAGGGTTTCAAGTTTAGTTCGAGATTTTGGTGAGGAGTGCTGTTGGTGCACTTTGTAAACACTAGTTGATGCAATAAAGTCGAAAAGTTTCAATCTACATCTTCGAGTTTGTCATCTACCGGTGTTTCTGGGTCCCGACGGTCTAACCGGAGGGGTGTGCGCGGTCTGACTAGTGGGATAGCGGCGGTCTGACCGTAGGTGTTCAAGCGATCTGACCAGCGAGGTGTTGGCGGTCTGACCGGCGGCAGGAGGGCGGTTCAACCGGCGGCGACTGGACTTCGTCATCGACTTCGTTCGAGGGTAATCTTTAATTCCGCAAAAGATTTTGGGTTTTTGATTTTCGCTACCATTCATCCCCCCCTCTGGTAGGTTCGTTTGGTCTTGTACGATCCTACAGGTTCCACCGTTGTGGATCATGTCAACCTGGCCAAAGCCCCTTCCACATGTCCACCCCAAACCTGCTCATAGAGCCACCCTACAGTCTTTCATATAGTGAGACAATGTACTAGGCTAAGTTTGATTACTCAGTCCTGTGGATGGGCGCAAATTACATCATTTTCCATGGCATAGGGGTAGTCCTTATATCCGGGGAAAACCACCAAAACTAGCACAGGCCCGTGCATACTTCAAGTGTAAATATACACTTTCCACAAAATAATTATAACAACATTGTCACGCCCAGAAATTCACGAACCAGAATTTCTAAGCTGAATGTGCATTAAATCCCTATCCAGGACCAGCCAGGGTACACAAACGACAATTGTTGACCTACAGATCCACGTTTTACAAAAATAGAAAAGATTACAAAATGCAGCAAAAAAGATAAAACGAGCTAGACTTGGAAACTTGACTTCAGTAGCGGGGCGACTCCACTCCACAGGCAAACCTTGACGGCAGCGACGAAACCAACTCCAACAGGACAGCTCCCACTAGGAAGATCTTCAGCTCTGGTGTGGGGGAAAAGAAAGCAAGACTGAGTACTACCCACTGTACTCAGCAAGTCATACCGGAAGAGGAGGTATGATGCAGGATATAACCAAAGGAGGCTAAAGGTTCTTGTGCATAAAGCAGGCATTTCAAAGCAGTAGTTGAAAGCAGTAAAACAGTAGTAGTAATTAAGCAGTATTAACCAATTACTGTCTAACGCTACACCACGTTGCAACAGGCCCAACCAACCACCTGAACTACACCAGTTCATTAAACTAAACTCGGGGTGAGACTAATCACGGTGAATCTGGTTGATCGCCCATAACCGCGGGCACGGCTATTCGAATAGTTTTACTCTGGCCAAAGGTGTACAACTGTACCCACAAGACACGATTCCACACATGTCGCCATACCCCGAAGTATCATCATGATACTGCAAAGGGGGAAATCGTGATAAGACCCTCCACATATCCCTCCCCTAACCATCCACACCACGCTAAGGTTTCACCCCCACCCCTCAAAAGGCAGTGGGCGGTCCCCTCTTGCGCCGCGATGAATCCGGCAGCTGGACAACCGGACACCCCGGCCGACCCAACTCCATCACGCCCACCCTCGCCACCGGTGCCTAGGAAAGGGTCGAGCTATACTTCAGATCAAGCAGTTACCCACTCCCGCTTGTGGTAAGCACGGTAAGTCTCCCAGGGTTTCCCGTGAACCGGTGCTTAACTGCCATGGGTGCGACCAGCAAAACCATGCACCCACAGCCCACCATTCAGTGTATTTTAATTAACTAACACCATTGCGGTGGCACCAATCCAAAGCTATGCTCGTAGACAAAGTCTATGTAATAATGTGATCCCCATTTGTGTACTAGTTGAACTAAGCATGGCTAAGCATTTCCTAAGCCAACATCTAGTCATTTTGATACCCAAGTTATCAATGGCATATGGTAAACAATATATGGCTGAGTAATAGGACCCATCCCACATGACATTGTAAAAGAATGCAATATTTAATAGAAATGCGGGATATTTGTAAATTGGGTACAATATGATCAATTGTATTGCATGACTTGCCTTGCTCTCGAACCGATGAGACCTCAACAACGTCTTCGAGAAACCGCGGATCGACGAAACGGCCGAATTCTACGCGACAAACAAAGCACACAAGCAAAACATGCTATAAGACTACTGAAACAGGAAACAAAACCATTTTTAATGGATTCTTTGCATTTTTCTTGACTTACTGAGACTTGAATGGACTTAAACGGAGCTCGGATGAATTACTTATGAATTTTAGAAGATAAACTGTGTTTTTACTAATAAAGAAAAAGTCCTTAATTATTTATTGCGCAATAAATGCCCAGGGCTGACGTCATCAGGGGGGGCGTCAGCACGTGGGCCCCATGGGTCAGCGGCACAAGGCGGCCGGTCCACCGTGGACCGGGACCACGCGGGTGGTCCACCGGCGGTGACCGGCGGCGCGGGAGACGGCGGCGGCCGGCGCGAAGGCGGCGGCGGCGGCCGAAGACGACGGCGCACGCGCGGAGGGCGGCGGCGCTCATGGGAGAGAGGGAAGGAAGGAGGAGAGCGGATTCCTCACCGGCGAGCACGGCGGCCGGCGCGAAGGAAGAAAACGGCGGTGATGACCGGCGATGCCGAGGCGCGGACGGGCAGCGGCGGCACCCTAAGAGAGAGCAGAGAGGGGTTAGGGGAAGGGAAGGCGACCACGGCGGCTTGAATTGCTGGCCGGAGATGGAGAGGAGAGAAGGTCTCACCGGCGCGCGAGGAGAAAAGGGCTCCGGCGTTGTTCGGCGGCAACCAAGCGGCGGCCGAGGTGCGGACGGGCTCTGTGAGCGCGACGGCGGCGATGGCACGGCGCGGCGGCAGCGCGCGGCCGGAGATGGGCGGCAGCGGCGGAGCTCGGGTGTGACGGCGCGGGCGCGGTAGGGGGCGTGGGAGAGGACGGCAAATGGGGGAAACAAGGGAGGGGACTCGGGGGAGGGTTTTTATGGGCGAGGGAGGGGCGGACATGGCCGGGGAGATGGTCGAAACCGCCGGCGACGTGGGGAGGAGAGAGAGAGAGTGGGGTGGGATTCAAAATGAATCCCGCCCACTTCGTGCGTGCGCGCGGGCGGGAAAGGCGGAGGAGTGGGGCGGCGACGTGGGCGCGCGGCACGGGCGGAGTGGGGCGCGGAGAACGGCGGGAAACGGCGGCAGCGGCGTGGGCGGTTTCGACGGCAGCGGCGGTTGCTGGAGGTAGGAGACGACCGACAGGTGGGGCCCACCTGTCGGCGTCCCAGAGAGAGGAGGGAGGGGCGCATGGGCCGTCCCAACAAAGGGGAGGCCGAGCGCGGGAGGGAGTGGGCCGACGGCCCAATAGAGAAAAAAGAAGGAAAAGAAAAAGGAAAAGAAGAAAGGATTTTCCAGGGATTAAAAATATTGCGCTTGCTCATTTTTAATTGGTTAAAATTATTTCCAAGGCTTTGAAAATTCCACTAAAAATCCTGTTAATATATTGTGACATGTGGAACCCAAGAAAAATTCCACCATGCCGAATTTGATTATTAAATGCATTTATTAATTAGGGATTTAGCTCTAGGTTAATTTAAACAATTTCTTCGAGCAATTTATTTAGCCAATTTTTAAAGCAAGGAGAGGGGGAAACTTCAAGGCGTGACAAACATGCACGGTCTCACACACCACAACATCCATCGTCACCCGGAATTAATCTTCCATATCACTCTAGGCGAGTGACTTATATCAAATAACATATTTTATATCACCCGTCACGCCACCACGTGACGACGGGTAAACTATGTATATGAATATAGATATTTGGTGGTCTTATCCACTAGGTTATCAAAGGGGCGTGATATAGCAATTCATGGATTTGGCCAATAATAACAATGTAATAATGGGTAATAACTAAACTAATAAGTTTATTCAAAAATAATTTATACGCAAAATAATTTATATAAAATAACTAAGTGGTTCTCTACTAGGTTTCAATATGATCAAAGATTGGAACTGTGGCTTGCCTTGTGGAAGGTGGCCTTCCGAAGCTTCAGCGTAGCCTTCTAGGTCCACTTCAGTTCCTGTGAGTCCGGTGGAATCTTCAACACCATCTAACGTACGCACACGAAGAAACGACCAAATAAGCCTATAATAAAAATACTACAAATAAACGATAAAATAAATATTGTGAATCGGAGCCAGAACAAAAGAAAATGATAAATCAAGAGTTAACTTGATTTGGATGACAAAAGATTTATTCTAGGGTTATGATTCATGGTATGTGTAGTAGTGGTTGCAATTTGGAATTAATGCTATAGATGACAGAGGTGAAAACTGAAATTGATTTGGAGTTTTAGAGCTCGAACATGAGAAAAACATCCTAATGGAATTGTTTGGACTGGTTTATTGTGGTTAGGCACTATTTAGGTGGTTTTGATGGGATTGGTTGGGTTCAACCAATAGGAAACAGCGCTGCCGGAACTGTTCATGTTCTTCCCGTGGCTTTTCACGTGAGTAACAGAGGTAGAGAGAAAAGCTCTAGAGCTCCAGTGAGGGAACGGCGATGGATACGATAGCATGACGTGTTCCACAGGCTGACACCCCCACAGGACGTGGACACTGGGCTGGAAGACAACAGAGCTAACCGGAACGCGAGTTCCAGATCGGGAGCTATGGTGACACCGGGCATGGAAGTGGCAGCTCCGGTGGCGAACGCGGGCAGGTGAGTGCGTCAAAACGTGTTCCTGGATGAGAAGGTTCCATTTTTGTGGTTAGTTGATAGAGATGAAGCGTCGGCCATGCCGACCTCGGTGGCAGCCATGGTGGTGGACAGGAGCACGATAGGAACCCGATAGAAGCAAGGAAAGAAGGGGACAAAGGTTATTGAGAATTCTCACCGATGAGAGGTGTTCCTGCGGTGCTGTGGTGCAGCAGCAGAGGGACGACGACGACGAATCGGCTACACAGCTGGCCTTGGCTGTGGCTGAGGAAATTTTGGGATGAAAACGAGTTTAACGCTTCCAGGGAAAGAAGAAGAAGGAGAAAAAGGAAAAGAGTGCAAGGTCTAGGAACCGACCGGGGAGATCGATGGCGAGGCGAGCTCAGCCTCTCGCTATGATTTGCGCGACGGCTAATGGAGATCGGCGCGTGGCTGATGTGAGGCGGCACGGGCGGGCGTGTGCGAGCACGGGAAGGTCGCGAGGCTGCTTGCGTGTAGCGCGAGAGCGGCCCTGGATGGCGTCGGCCTGCAGAGGCTCGGCTGGAGCCGGGCTGCCTAGGCTGGGCCAGGACATGGGGTAGAACAGCCCAACACAGAGAGTGACCAGGGAAAAGGAAATCCGGAATATGGGCTGGATTGCAAGGAACTCGGTCCGAGAAGAAACACAGTGATCTATTTGAATTTTTGGAGAGATTTTTGTATAGAAATTTGGTAGGATATTTTTGAATAGGAAATCGTTAAGACTGATTTTTAGAATATTTGAATGATGACTCCGGGATAACTTAAAATAAACACGAGCTCTTCTGATGATTTTCGGAATTTTCTCTGGATATCTCAGATTTGGTTTGGAGAGGGAAACTAAACAAGGTTACGTGGGAGTCGGAAACTTAGAGGGAACAAAAGAAATATAAGGATTGGGAGGCTCCAATTCGAAAGAACGAAGAACATTGACTTTAAATATTTTCACAAAAATTTTACCCTGAAAAATCTAGTATGTTACAATGCATCATGCTGTATATAGAAACAAGGTACAAAATGTGTAACTAGGAAATGTAAATTCAAGTTTATAGGGAAGTAACTTTGCATGTTTCTAGGAAGTAACTCATTGAATTGTTACAAGTAACTTTCTGCTAAAAATACACTGAGACTCTGTTAAAATTGCTATGAGAATTAACCTAATGCACAGTGAGAAGTTACTTAATACACAGTGAGAAGTAATTTAGTGTACTGTAGGAAGTAACTCATTGAAGTGTTAGAAGTAACTTTTTGTTAAAAATGCACTGAGACTTCTGTTAAAATTGCTTTGAGATTTCCAACACCATTACTCATGCCTATGTAACTAGGGAATGCAAATTTAAGTTTATTTTGGGAAGTAAAGTAACTTTTTGTTCAAATTGCTCTGAGAGGCAACCAAATGGAATGTATCATGCTGTGTAAACTAGGGATTGTGAATTCAAGTTTATCTGGAAGTAAGTTGCAAGTTCATAGGAAGTAACTTACTGATTTGTTAGAAGTAACTTCCTGTTAAAATCGCTTTGAGATTTTGAAACACCAGTACTCATGCCTTTTCAATAACTTTTTTTCTCAGCAGCACTAGAAAGTGAATTTGGGGTATAAAGGAAGACAGAAAACAACACTACAGCTCATTACTTACAAAATTACAGCACATATTCATATGAATTCTTTTCTCGAAGAATACAGAAAAGATCTAAAAGTTTCTAGGTTAGTTCTATTTGTTTTTTTTTTTGGATGGATCTCAAAGAAGACAGAATTTGAACTTCATGTGTACTTTACCTGGATATTTTCTTGGATTTACTCCTCCTCCTTCCCCTCTTCCAAGATGGCGATTTTTTTCTTCTTAGATTTGCTCCTCCTCCTTCCCCTCTTCCAAGATGGCGATTTGTTTCTGATTTTTACCGCTGTGGCAACTGCGTGGCGATTGATGTCGCCGATGTCCGGATTTGATGGGTTGGAGCGGGGGAGAGAGGCGCATCGCGCTGTCTTAGCTGGGGCCCACGCCAGCTAGCGACGTGTGGCGTTGCACGGCGCTTGCGCGCGCAAGCGCGCACTTTCCTTTCCTTTTTGAGCCATGGCGCACGCGGGGGCCCGGGAAAACGCTGTTTCCTTTTTTGGCATGGGCGCGCGCACGTCGCGCGATAGGGCTATCGCGATACCGGTCTCGGTGTAGTCGCGTCCAAATGGAATCTAGGTACCTTCATCTACCTCCAGAAAAATCCCCTCTAATTTTATCATGTCCACAAATTAAACTATAGATTTAAAAAGTAAGGGGGAGAGAAATAATCTTGAAAATAACTGAAAAATCAATTTTCACTCAAAATCCTACCCATCCCTTACACCCACACCTAGACCACACCACCCTGGACCCACCTGTCATCATCTCTGGGTCGCTGTCCAAGTGTTCACCTCCTCCAGCCGACCAGAGACACATAGGGAGGGAGGGAGCACGCTCTGCCGCCCTTCAGAGTCCGAACGCGCGCGACGCGTGGCTATGACGTGTAGACGCCCTCAAAATGCCGAGCTCCTCCTCTACTCCTCTCCCTGACGCATCGCCAAACTTCACTGTCCACCCTGAGCCGAAGAAACCCAAGGAGAGAGCTCCAACTCTCCCTCTCCACCTCTCTTTCGTCGTCGGCCGCCGATCACCAACGAGCCGTCTCCATCCCTATCTAATTCACGTTCCGTTATCTTCTCTCCATGCCGAGCAAATCCTCTTTTCACTCCATCTTGTTTCGTCCACTGCAACGACGGGAACGTGACCTCGTCTACGGGAGCTCTAGAGCGTGCTCCAAGCGCCGCCGCAAGTGTCGAAACAAGATTTCGGCAATACTAAAAGGGGGTGGCTATCAAGCTGGAAAAGTGGATGAGTTTAGAGACAAGGAATTTTATACAGGTTCAGGCCTTCTTAATCAAGAAGTAATACCCTACACCTGTCCGGGGATTGATCCGCCGAGTGTATTATAGATCGTATGATCTTGGAGAAAAATCGTACCCCAAGAGGCACCCGGACCCCTCCTTATATAGGGGAGGAGTCCGTATTACAAAGTACAGCCCATATCCCTAACGGAATAGGTAGTTACAGATAAGATACAATCATAACCGACTAAGATCCCGGGTATTTCCTTGACAAACAAGTTTGGATTTTAACCCGAGTCCCTTTAAAGATAATCTATCTATATATGGCACCCCATACCCAGTCGGATATACATGCCGTGTAGGTATGGGGTATCCATAATCTCTACAGTAGCCCCTGAGACCTTTACAGTCGACGAAATAGTCTTCTCTCGTAATTCAAAACAATAATCCGAGTGCTCCAACTTCTTCTGCCTTGGTCTCCCGAGTACTAAAATCAAAGACTGTGAAGGGCTAAAATAGAAAAAATCAGGTGCATCAACTAGATGCACCTAATTAGGTGTAGCCCCCAACTATGTGATTAGTTAAATAAAAACTAAACACATAGTTAAAGTGCAACTAACATCCATCCGAGTGGTTTTACAACCGAATCGTCCAAGGTATCACATAGCTAAGCATATGCGACGTTTGATAAAACATCCAGCCGACTGCTTTAGCTTTAATACACAAAAAAGGAGATATAAAGAGACCCGAGTGAGAAACACTCTAAAGGTCTATAAATCAACACATATGATAAGAATCCGAGTAAAAACTCTCAAAAAGATCCATCAAATGTGATATAAAGCATGACAAACGATGAGTCTAAATAGCCTAAGTTATGACTCACGCCATGACCAAAATAAGCATATAACGTGCCGAGAAAATGACTACTCAAAACCAGTCATCTCAACAAAACCCAAACAGCTTTTGCAGCCTAAAAAGCTTGCAAAATTAGTATAACACTTTTCCGTTGGGCACCTTTTTATTTGCATCGTAGTAATTCCAAAGAATTATTTAACTGCGTCAAAAAGGATTTTAACAGCATTAGGCTATATTGTTGTGAGCAAATATTGCCGAAGCAAAAATGCCTAAGTCCCTAAGGATCACAACTTAGCCACGCCGATAGCAAAATTGGGCTGAAGTACTGTTTAGGCCCATGCCCATTAGTACTTCCAATACCCTAATGAAACAACACTGAAGATCAAGCGCCGTTTCGTCTTCCCCGCCGAAACCCTCGCCACTTTCCCCATTTTCTGCTACAGTACGAACCCGCGCCGGCGAAACTAGGGTTCACCGATTCGCTCCACTCCATCCTCCAAAACTTCACGAAAATCTCCCACACAACCACCGCATCAATCTCCCATTCATTCCTAGCCACACCCCGAACCAAATCACCTCATTCAGATCGCATCCATGGTGGAAGAGAGAGAGAGAGCTTTGAGAGTCAGTGGGCGCCCTCCGATGTAACGGAGGAGAACCTGAAGGAGATGGTGGCGCACGGTGTTCTTCCGGCAAAGGAGATCATTGGGTGGCGTCCAGCATACGGCGAAGCATTCCCAACTCCTGACACACATGTGGTCGTGGTATTTTCTCATTTCTTCTACGGCGGATTTTCTCTTCCGACCTCAAGTTTCTTCAGAGGAATTTTGGATTTCTATGGAATCAGCCTACACCACCTAAACCCCAATTCCATAGTCCATATCGCCAATTTCATCCATGCTTGCGAAGCTTTTCTGGGGATTAGGCCACATTTCGCTTTATTCCGCTGCATCTTCTTCCTCAAGCCCCAGGCAAACAAAAGCAAACCATGCGTAGTTGGGGGAGCCGGATTTCAACTGAGGGGGACCTTGAGCCAAAAATACTTCTCCATGCCATTCAAAACCTCGAACAAAGGTTGGCACGCGAACTGGTTCTATGTGCAAAACCCCAAGCCAGCGCTTCCCGGATACTCCTGTCTTCCCCCAGTCTATCGCGATACCTGGAACTCACTGCCGATGGGAGAAGAAGCCGCCCAAGCGCTCGACTTGTTTGATCGCATGCTGAAGCTGAACGAACAGGGTCTACAAGGGGAACAAATCACTCGGCACTTCATCAAGACCTTGTTGGCACCAATCAAGGAAAGATCTAGAACAGCCTTTGAATTTGACGGCAAGCATGACCCCAACCGAGAGAACCCAGAATCTCTTGAGTTCAAAATTATGCAGGAGAGGATGTAAAAAATCTTCTCGAATGCCATCGTGGTCAGCTATTCACACACGTTGCCAGTCATACCATACAACGCCTTCAATCCTCCCCCACCGGTATGCATCATACATCTCAGCCTCTCTCAAAGCATGCTTTTATTTTCTGTAAGGTAGGTTGAAAACTCGGAATACCATGCACAGGAATTTGCTTTGATGAAATCTGACCCTCCGATTGCTCAACGCCGCTCACCCCGTTGGAAGACAAGCCAAGCCAGTGGAGGGCCGAAAA